CGGTACACGATCTACAGTTCGCGGTGGACTGTACTATTCTGTTAGAAATAGTGGACCGCGTTGAAATATATTACCCTGCAAGTTTGCTCAACCTTAATACTGTACCAAATTGAGCCATTGTATCGTGCAAATTAAGCTATCTTAACCATAATTACGCGATATTATGGTTCAATTTGAACAGACACATAATTAAATTTAATACTTTATTGGGTAACAATAACTTAACACCACATAATTGGTCAAGATATTGATATTCAATTTCAACGTTGAATCAATTTTTCTAAGAAAGTATAAAAAAAGGGAGAATTTCTAGGCAAAAATTTTTCAGAATCTAAATAGATAAAAATCAAATAAAAAAGATTATTTTAAATTAGGCTGAAATTTAAGGGGGACAGAGTCAAAAAAAAAAAAATTCTTTCTGAATCTTCTTTCTCCCTACCCCCTTCAAAAAAATTAATAAGGTTATCTTGTCAAATGACTAAACTATGATTAATTAGTACTGACAGCTATTCATTACAATTTAAATATTTCTGAAGATTTTAATGTAGGATTGGTTATAGTAGATAATATCATACATATTTATGTAGTTTAAACAGAAAAAACAAAATGATCAGAAAAAAATCTCTTGCTTTTTTAAAAAAAAAGAAGAAAAATCATAAATTTATCAGAAGTGGCGGAATAAGTAAAAATATTTTAAAAATAAAGAATTCTGTAACGAAAAGTTATGATGATTAACTCTTCAAATGACTTAAGGCATATAGAAATTAAGATTATCTAATACTTTTAAAATTTATAAACGTGCAGATTTCAATGTTGGCTATCAAATGATTTAACTTTAAGTTCACTTTAACTAATAACGATTCTAATCATTCCACTTTCATTCTTAAATAAACATAAAACAGTAGTTTTCAACATGGATCCTTCTAAGTATAATGTACATGGTAGTTAGGTTAGTTATCTTACACATGGTAATTACCTACTCAATGCTCTAAATATACATGGTAATAAATTACTCAATGCTACTTAAAAAAACAATCAATGGGAAATTTTACGTGTACTATTTCTTTATTTGTTTTATTTGTTCCATTTCTTGAAATTAATTCGCTTTAATAGAATATAGATAATCCGTGATTGATAACACCTAAAATGTACAACTATATATTAACTTACATATATTAACTTTTATATTGAAAGTTCTTTTGCTAAAAAAATTATAATTCTTAGTGAAAAATATTTCATTTATTTTTTGTAAAAAAATTACACTTAGAAAAAAAATTGGACCAACTAAGAATTTTCAAGCTGTTGAAAAATTTAATAAAACAGAACCTTAAGAGCTATATGTAAACTACAATGTGAAATAATTATCTTTTTTTTTTATTCAAACAAACCATAAATATTTTGACTATTAAATTTCTAATATTTAAGCAATAAAACTTTTCTAAAGAATATTGAGATTTACAAGTGTTTTTAAGAATTATATTTTATTACAGATGCGTGACATTATTTTTTTTAAAAAATTTACTCTCCCACAATATTGTAAAAAAAACTTTTTCTTTTAACTCCAACCAACTTTCATTCTTTTTATTTTGCTCTACTGAAATACGTTTCTATCTTAAAAGTTTCAATCCTGCCCTATAAAGTGAGTGAACTATAACTCGAAAATTTCTTAAAAAACTTAATAATTTCAGCGACTTTCAACAGCTAATAGAAATATTTCAAAATCATGTTAAAAATTATTATAAGTGAAAATTTGTATGTCATAACGGAGTTAAATATATTGAATTTCTTTCAATCGAAATGAAAATAAAATTATGAAATTTTGAAATCCAAGGTCAAAGTCTTTTTATTTCAAGCATTATACATAAATATCTAAAACAATGTAATCCAAAGTAGGCAATAAAATTAAAGCTATTAATTGTAACCTTATTTACACCATTAAAACAAAACATTTTAATTTATTTATTTTCAGAGCTATAAGCAGCATATGAAAGTGTTGGTTACAACAAGAAAAACATAAAATTCGTAGTATCCTGACATTAAGCAATTTCTGAAATGAAACACAATGGTTATAGCTGTCACGCTTTTACAACGAGGAGTCGTGTGCCGGCCCCTTTCTAAAGATGGGAGAGCCCCCTCCCCTTTTTTACAATGGCCTCCATACAGGGAGAATAAAAAAGGGAACCGCGAAAAGGGGGTCGCACTTGAAAAATCAGGTCAAGGCCTGTAGGCCCGATTAATTTTTAAACGACGAGAGAAAGGATTTTAGGGAATGAGGGGTATGTTTTATATGAAAAAAGGTACACTTGCGCATGCGCATCGTTACAAAAAGCAAGTGTTGAATGAATGATTTGAGTACATGTAATATCTGGGTCCCAAATGTTATGTAGGAAATAAAATAGACGATAAAATATTAGTTTCGGTAATTAAAAAATGTTATCTATTTCATAAAATTATTCAGCCAGAAAAGTTATTGCTGAAAAAAAATTTTTTTTAATCTGTTGCACTTCATAAAATATATTGTTATTACAAAACAAATATAATTCTAAAGTAATTTACTTTATAAAATATTATTACTTAAAATATTTTATTTTAAGTACTGACTTTATAAAATATACCGCAGTTGTTATGACTTAGGAAATTTAATTTTAAGATGCTGTATTTATTCCGTAATTGTACGAAGAAAGAAATATGGTTAAACTTACCAGAATGTTGCAAAATTTACCGTGTTTCTGGCTCTATGAGAACACCAAAACGTTTAGTAGCGTTTACCTAAGAGCTTTAGTAATGATTCTGGTTAAAATTAACAATAAAATATGGTTTTATAATACGTAATAAAAATTAGTAAAGATGGTCAAATTAAGTGATTTTATTACGATACCTTACAGAATGACATAAAAACCATTTATTCGGTAAATTTATTGTTCAGTTTGTGTTTTTTTTTTTTTGTTAAATAGGTGGTACTAATAACTGCCATTTTGAAAAACAGAATTTTCGTTACATATACCATATGAACTGAACGTTACCATATGAACGGAAAAATTATCTAATGAATGGTTTAAATACCATATGTATTGAGTTTTTTTTTTTTTTTTTTTTTTTCNTTTTTTTTTTTTTTTTTTTTTTTTTTTTTTTTTTTCTACCAAATATATATACAAAACAGAATCGTATGACTATGCAGTTTTTCACCGTGCATTATCACTATAGAATTTTAATGACAAGTTTCTGCATTAAAAAAAAAAAAAACGATTGTTATAATTGCTATTGAAAAAATGTAGTTTAAAACTTTTTTCTAAACAAACCAACTGACAAAAATTACTTTGTTGATTTATAATTTTTAAAAAATGTTCAGAGAAAAGCATTTTTCTAGAGAATATTTTTTTTTATTATTAATTACTGCTGTTTACAAAAAAAATATTCATGAGCCAATTTATTTCTAATAATTATTCTTTACTATTAATTACAAATTAACTGCAATTTGCATTAGTATATTATAAATGGTTACTATAAAACCTATTTCTAACTAATATTATAATATTGATTAGAAGTTTACTTTGACAAATGCTGATTTATAATAATATAAAAAAAATACCCATAAGCAAATGTTTTCTGTTAGAAATTATTTACAATTAATTTACATTGATTTTTGTTAATCAATAATAAAATAATTTCATAAGAACACATTTTTCTAATTAATATTTTTATTTTAGTATTTCAAATTTACTTTAATTTGTGTTAGTTTACAAGATAAAAATATTAATCAGAAAGCGTTTTTTACAGTTCAACCAGCAAAAATTACTTTAATTTTTGTAAATCGAAAAGACAATTATTTATCAGGAAATACGTATGTAATATTTAAATGGTCTCAAATTACAGAATTTTGTCATTGAGATATTTTTTGACGTGACAGTTAAAAAAGTTAAAAACTCAAATTCATGTTAACCCTTAGACGCAAAATTTTTATTAAACATATTTTTCATATTTTTTTCATTTTATATTAATTTAGGTCAAAATAAGTTGAAAATTTTTAATCCTTTATAATTATGAAATAAAACACCAGTGTTTTTTTCTGCAGTAAAGGTAAAATTTTCTAAACAAGGCTCACTTATAAAAAATAATTTTTGAAATTTTCAATAATTTACAGTTATTTAGAACTAAGAGAAACAGTTATTATCATCACTGAACTTCACAAAATTAATTATTGATAATTTTTGTAAATATGAATGGAAAAAAAATTTCAAAATACTTCTTTTGGGTTTTATATTTTATTACGAATATAATTCTGATAATCTAATAGATTTTTTTAGATAACAATTTAACTGATTTTTATAATTAAGAAATACGAAAATATATTTTTTCTTGTAATTAGAGTGCCAGGAAAAAAATATTTAAAAAAGACACCGGTGTCCCATATGCACCAAAACGTTAATAAAACAAATACATTTTAAAGCTTAAGTATGATTGCATGTGCAACTTCAAAATAAAAGAAAATAAATAAACAGTACTGTTTAATACTGTATAGTACTGCTTACGCACGGTGCAATGAAGAGTAGACACGCAGAAGAAGAAAGAAACAAAAAGTTTAAAAAACTTATTACATAACGATTTAACAGAATAAAGATTGTATCTTCGGCCTTCCTGAAACAAATCCGTTTATTTATAAGTCTTATCTCATAGAAGAAAGATTGATAAGAATAATTAGAAGAAGTGATACCAATTCAGAATAAGATTCGTAGCAGAGTTATACGGATTATGTTAGAAGAAAAATACCATTATATGCTTATGTTAAAAACCAATAGCAAAAATAATCATATTGAAAATAATATAAAAGGACTGATTAAATCAAGCAATAAACTAAAACGTTAGCAATGCCAATAGATAAAGTTCAATCAACTAAAAAAGTTTTTAGCAGATTTCTTATCTAGTTTCTAATTTATCGGTTGCATGAACATTCGGCACTTGGGTTATACATACATATTTACTACTATTCCTTATTTAAATCTGAAAATAAAAATAAAAAAGTATTAATTCGTTTATAAAGTTCCCAGACTTGCACACGGAGAAAAAAATTCTGGCAAAATTACCGAACTATCCAGGTAAAAAGTATTTACTAATAGTAATTTTTTTTTTAACTGTATTTTAACCATTTGTTTGATAATTTTTCCGTTTATATGGTAATGATTTACCGGAAATTCTGGCTTTTAAAACTATAGTTCTTATTACCGCTCATTTAGTAAAAAAACATAAAACTGAAAAGTAAATTTAATTGAATAAATGGTTTTTAAAATCTAGAATGATATTTACGAAATTATGTAATATGCATATGAACGTTTTTGTAATATATTTAAATATAATTGTAAATATATTAATATAAAATTATATGCTAATTTATCCATACATAATTAATAATAAGGCATTATTAAAAAAACAATTCTGAGAAGGAAAAAAAAATTCTACTTCATAATCATATTTTCTTTAATTGTTTTACATCAATTGATAGCTTTCGTCTTCTCAAGAAATTTTTAATAAGACCCAATAAAATCTAAACTACAGTGGAATTATTATTTTAGTTTTCATTTTATTGAAGTAGAATATGTAGTTCTTTTCTAATGCAGTTTCACAAAAGCGTTTTACAAAAAACAAAAAACAGTTAAAATAAAATACATGTTAATATAATTATAAAACATTATTTGATATGCATGTTATTAAATATATTTTAATACAATAGTAAAATAAAAAAGTATTCTAAGGTTTCTGTATCATCTTTTTAGATTAGGAAATAAATAACGGTATAAATAAATATTAGAATGTTTAAAGTTCTTTTATCAGAACGTCTTTTTTGAATCAAATTACAGATAGCTTTAAATACAGAGCTCCTAACAGATCATTTCTAAGCTTGTAATGTTCTATATTTAAAATATATCTATGATAAAAGGATTTTTTTAAACTTTTCAACACATATTAAATTGCATTTAAAAAGTGATAAAAAAAAATAAGAATATAGTAATCAAAACAAGAATATGGTTTCTGTCTCTATGGGAATGCCAAAAATCTTGGTAATTTTTACCTAAGCGCTTTGGTAATAATTTTGGTAAAATTAAGTAGAAAATATGGCTAATAATATGTGATAAAATTTTGGTAATTTTATCATGATGCCTTAAGCATGGTTTAAAAACCACTTATTCGGTAAAATTTATTTTTCAGTTTTGTATTTCATACTAAATGTGTGGCGATAAAAACTATAATTTTGAAAATCAGAATTTTTGGTAAACCGTTACCATAAGAAAGGAAAAATTACCAAATGAAAGGTTTAATATTGTATACTTTGATTTCATTAAAAAAAAATTATGGTGGTTTTTTTTTTTTTTACCGGAAATGTTATTACCATACAAAAACATATACATATAGATAACTATTGCTATTTTTTTAATTTTATTTTTATGGTCTTTTATGATTACAATCGCTTAATAAAGAGTTTAAGTTGCATAAATAACTTTTGCATTTCACCAACAACAATATTTTGAAGGCATAACACAAAATATAATTATTCTACACGGAGAAAAAATTCTGGTAAAAATTATACTGTATTTAAACTATTCATTTGGTAATTTTTTTCGTTCATATGATAACGGTTTACAGAAAATTCTAATTTTTAAAATTATAGTTCTCATTACCACACAATTAGTAAAAATTAAAAAAACGGTAAGTAAATTTAACCGAATAAAACAGATTTTATCCCACGGTCTAAGCTATCATAATAAAATTACTAAATTTACACATTTACCCAATTTTATCACAAATCATAAAAAAAATATTTCATTAATTTTTCCAAAACCTTTACCAAAGCACTTCAGTTACATTACCAACCTTTTTAGTGTTCCCTTAGAGTCAGAAACAAAATAAATTTTACAGTATTTTTGACCCTACTTAATGCTTTACCATACTTTTTTTTCTCAATGCATGACCAAGCATGTTTAAAACTGTTAGCTTCAATAATATTTCGGGTAAAAAGCTTATAATTTAACTATTCTAACTAACACAACCTAATGAGTTTTAGAGTCCAGCATATTGAATATGATTTGTGTGATAGAGGCCGTGATTGCTAAACAGATCGAAGGGAGACGTAATGAATTGAGTAATATATGCTTTGTTTTTTAGAATGGCACAGTTCGTCATTAGTAAGATATAAAGCAGCTGTTTGATTTCTTAACAGCACAAGGAATTCTTAACTCTTTGTCAGTAGTATCGGTCGCAATGTTACAAAAGGACACGTCATGCAATAATACCTCCGATAAATGCGTCTTTTACGAAAAGGTGAATAAACTTTGGCCAAATTTTTGCTGATAAAAGCACTTCTACATTCAACCGATTGCGTCAGGGTAAAATTGGAAGGACGAATTTTGTTAATCACATCTTATTAAATGATGCTGCCTTTAGTAGGTTATCACTAAAACAATCATTTCATTGCCTGCCTTGAAAAAAAATTGATATATATATATATAAATATATTTAGCACTATAAATTAAAAAAATGAAGAAAATTAAAAAGTTTTATTTTTTCCGTACATGTAAGTTCATATGAATTCGCTACTCGCTTTATAGATTTCGTTTTATATTTTGTTTTGTTTTTTCTTTACATTTTTTTGTTTGTTTTTTACGTGATATATATTACTTAATGTGTTCCATTTTGCTTCAAAAAATTTTTTGAGTGGTCCTCACACTATTGTATTGATATATTTTGCTTTCGCTATAGTGATACAATATTATAAAGCACTCGTTTTTGCCGATATAATCGTGTGAGCTGATAAAGAGATTTTTTCCCCGGATTTTTATATATATTTTATTTATTTTATTTTAACAATTTTCTTCTTCTCCTTTCATTATACTGTAATCGTTTCCCTGTTTTCTCTGCATTTTGAATACCTTGTTTCAGTGATGTTTGTGGAGAAGTTTGAGGAAAGGTGTTTTCCATTGGCCTGGGATCAACAGGGTAGGAGATATGAAATCAGGAAGATTGGTTCCGGTACTTCAATAAGTAATTTCTTTTTTTAATTTTATAATCATAACTTTAATTATTAAAAACAAGTTTTAGAATAATCCCCTCTTAATACCTAATATAAAAATTCGTAGTCTCCAATACCTCGTAATTGAAGGCTAAATTTTCTGATGTGTTAAGCATGAATGCAATTGTAGCAGATTAAGATAATTAGTTGACTGCTAAATTAGCCGTCTAACCTAAGCCTACAAATATAATATCAACCCGAAATTTCGATTTTCAAACTGCGATATTTTATTATCTTAAAGCCGTTTCTAGGAATGGTTGATAAACGAGACAATAACTTAATAGAGAAATTTTTTAACTTGTTAAATGCAACTCGATGTATAAGCTTTATTAATAAATACAGTGGAGCATCGTTTATACGACGATCACTTATACGACGTTTACATTTATACGACGTTTTAGTGTGGTCCCAAATCATTCTTATTCATTTTAATGTAAAAATATATCGTTTATACGACGCACAAAATCGGTTATACGTCGGTTTTTAGATTTTGTTCACGTTTATTTAATTTTTTATTTTTTCTTGTGTATTTTAAAAAGGGGCGGAATTTGCCAACATGAATGATACAGAAAAGGGTGCCAACAAGAATGCTTGGATGACGACCGTAATTTTTACTAGATGACTGAAAAAACTAGACAATGTTATGAAGAGGCAAAAACGAAAAATTTTGCTATTCATCGACCAATGTCCAGCGCACCCATCGATACTAATTATTTCGGAAAATGTAAAAGCTCTCCTTTTTCCTGCAAATTGCACAAGTGCGCTTCAGCCATTAGATTTGGTCATGATTAGAAATCTAAAATTGCATCATAGAAAGCAGTAAGTTCAACTCGCTATTCAAAGCATTGTAGAGACAAATAGCAAGAAAATATAATTAAAGGTATCATACATTCAAATTGCTCACTGCAATTTCTCTTCTTTGGTTATTTGTTTGTTTTGCTTTGTCTAATTTAGAAGTTTATGTAAATCAACACGTTAAACATTAAAATTAACTGAAAACAGAGTTAGTTTCAGTTTTAGAAGTAAAAATCGATTATACGACGTTATCGTTTATACGACGTTTTTCGGTGGTCCCTTCGGCGTCGTATAAACGATGCTCCACTGTAATTTAGGAATCTGTAAGGTCCTTCACATCGCAAATTGATTTTTAAGAAAAAAAAATACAAATAAATAAACAAATAGGGAAACATAGCAAAAAATAAAGAATAAAAATAATAATTCCAGATTATTTTATATTTACGTTCGATAATTTTAGATTTTATCTTTCCGCCCTACTTAGGGATGACTTGCGTTTCGGATAAAATATTTCAGTAGTACAACATTGGGTTCACTTCGAAGAAGCAAGTTTGTCCGTTTGAAGAAGCAAATTTATGTTTTTGCAGCTGCTTAAAACTATAATTTCAATCTACATGAGTTTGCAATTAGAAAATGATATCTAATAGCATAAATAATGATAAAAAAAAAACTACATATGAAGAATAGAAATGGTCATATTTTTGTAAATAAACATACCAATTTTACAAAAGAGAAATTAAACGTAAGAAATAAATTTACAGTTCGTAAAAACTACAAATCGATTTCTTCTTTTTTTTTCGTCATTAGTAATCAAAAGTATATTTTTCAAAAATTAGTTTTTCAAACTACTAATTATAAAATAAAATAAAAAATTTTGTTGCTTAAAATTGCTTTTGGCTAATCTAATTTTAACAAAACTCAGAAATATAAAACATGTTACATTCAATGTCGATAAATGGTGATGATTCTAAAACAAAAACAAAAAAATTTAAATTCATTTATATTTTCTCAACAAATCCAAAAATTTTTGTAAATATATACTAAATAAATATAGCCAACATCATTAACATTTTATAGGAGGGCCACTAACGTGCAAAACTTTATTCAGAAAATTTTATTTAATAATTATTTTAATTGGAGAAATAAGGACCCTAACTAGAAATCTGCAAAGCATCGTTGTATTTATGTTAATAAGGCTTCAAAATGCAATTATCAGTTTCATAATAAATAAATAAATAAAAAAAACAGGGTTATTTTTTAACCATTTTTCCCCCCTTTTTTTTTTTATATTTTACAGATTTTATTCTGACGCTTATTTCTTAGACTTTGAAAATTATAACTGATAAACCCCAATTTTAAAATCTACATAATTTTTATTATTACTTCCGTACTTTTTGCTCGATAAAATACAATAATAATTAGTAAAATCGAAAAAATGAAAAAATCATCAGAAATTATCATAATAAATCATAATTGAAAAAAAATTATTTTCTAAAAAATATTACATTTAATACTTTTTTAACGAATATTTTAGTGGAATACGACGATAAAATAAAACAAACTAAAAAAAATTTTAAAATTAAAGACATAGCTTCTTCAATACATTTTAAGGCAATTAGCGACTATATCATTTTCACGACAAACACATCAAAAATTAAATAAATAACTTTTCTACTTCATAATTAAAATCCTTATACTGAAAATAAGTTATTTAATGTGATTGAGTGAACAAAAAATAAAGTTGAAAGAAAATAAGAAGCGATCCAATTTAAAGAATTTTATTCTCGAGAAAAGCTTAAATGGCAAGTTCAGTACTCGTAAGGGCGATTTTTTAGAAGCCACCGCGCCAACCAAAGAACAGGAATTTGCGGCTTTTCCTTACACAAGATAACGAGACCTTTTAGAAGATGTGGGTTTACAGTCTCCGACAGGTACTCCCTGGCACTACCAAGGCTTAATTCAGCCTCAAATTGAGTGTCTGGGAAGAAAAATCGAATTTCTCTACTAGCTGTTCGAACGTTTTTACTACCGAGTACACCATTGCCGAACAAAACGTTAATGCAATTGGCTTGCTCTCGTCCTGTATTAGCTTGACCAATGAGCTCCAACCATCTGGACACGGCGTCGAATCCTGCTATGATCAATACTTCACTATGACCAGTGGTCATCGAATAGATGAAGGCTTTTAGATCTCGTTCCACATCATCATCGTCGAAATTGGCTTTTTCGAGTTCTAAAGTCGAAGGGTCATGCTTTCCTTCTTTACCTCCGCTAATGTAGAAAAAACGCTGAGCTTGGTCTCTTCGCAAAAGGACGATTTTTTTCTTCAAAATGGCCAGGCCGCTGGATTTAATCATCCATTCGATTTCGGAAGTCCTGGAAATCAGTTTTGGGGTGATTATCCCAAGCGTCTTTTCGTAAACAACGTTCATAGTTTTGAACAATTTTCGTCCTATAGAATTCAAAACGGAAGCTATAATAATTGCATAAAAAAATTATATCTACGTTAAACTACAGCGCTCTAATATATCTCCAGAAAAAAAGAGAGAAAAGAAAAAAATGGTAACTTAATACAAAAAAAAGATAAAAATACCGCAAAAAATTGAGAAAAGAAAAACGAATTTGGATTAATTTTAAAATTTTCTACATCAATGCTTTTTTTCATAATCCATTAGTTCTTTTTTTAAAGAAAACAGCAATAACAAAACAATTCGATGCGATTTATATATTGTTCAGGGTATATGATACTGTTTCCGGTTAGGCAGGATAGAATAGCGGTTCCCAAATGATGTTCCACGGAATCCTAGGGTTCCGTGTAAGAGTTAAAGGGGTTCCGCCAGCTAGTATTTTTTATAACTAGTGATGAGGTTTGAAACTTCTGATTATAATTAGAACCAACCCATAATTCATAATTTATTCAATCCTTTGGTTGCATTTATGAAATTACTTCAAGTAAAATACCAATGAAATAGAAATAGCATTTTTAAAGGAAAATCTGATATTTCCTAATAACAATATATTGAATAATTATGAAGAAAAAAAAAAGCATTTTTATAATATTCCATTAGTATTCCCCATCAAGCTTTTTAAATCAAAATAACAAAATTCCTTAACAAAAAATATATGCGTTCATAATAACTATTTTCAACAGCAGTTCTTTTAAAGATTGATTTCGAAGTGAACCCTAATTCGGCTTATTTTAATCATTATCAGCTTATTTTAATCAGTATAAACACCAGAAACAAATTGATAGCTAGTCCAGATTTAGCACAAGGAGTGCAAATTTAACTGTCGAATATAAAACCCAATTTAAGATTATTAGTGATAAAACGATGAAAAATCTTCATTTCTCTAATTAAATATTTTAAATACAGTCTTTTTATAGGTTATAACGTTCATAATTACTTTAAACTTTATTTATAAAGTTGGAGTTCCGCCGAAAGAAGATCGATAATTTAATGTTCCGAAGGTGAAAAAAATTAGGAACCACTGGGATAGGATATGCTTTTTTACTCCTTTAACCATGTTTTTTAAATTGTCACGTCAAAAACCCAATGTATAATACTTATCCAAAAAGAAATAAATGAATAAAAAACAATTTCAAACCCTCAAATACAATAGAGATATCTATAAAAATTATTTACATCATAAAATTACATTGCATGTAGTGTTTTTGTTGGTGATAATAACAAATCATCAAAAATTAATAATATTTGTTTTTATTTCATAAGTAAAACATTTTTGTATAAAATAAATTATTTTGAGAAATTTTTTTATTATTACAGAAAGCTTACAAATAAAAAACAATATTTTCTTGTTAACATAACTTTAAAATTATTTTTTTGCTTTAAATGTGGAATATATGCATAAAATATAGTTTATTTTTAACTTTGCTTAGAGTAGCTTTTTTTCAGTTTTATTAAACTATTGATTATAAAAGTATTTATGTAACAAAAGAAATCTGATTCCATGTTGGTTTAATTGGTATTAAAATATTATAAAAAAGTTCAACGCAAATAATGTAATTCCTTTTTCTAAAAATATATATTCTTACTTTTAACACTTCTTACTTTTACACTTCTAACAAAAACTATCTGATGAAGCAAAATTCAGTAAAAAAATGATTGATATATAAAACTATATAAAGATCTTTAAATATAGCACTTTACTGGTGGTGGGAAATATATTTAATTATTAATAATAATTTATGAAAATCGTGAACATTTTTCACATTTTGTAAGCCAACAAATTAGAAAATATTTTCAATTTTTTTCTTCAAAATAGGATATACTTTAATAAACACTTAATTTAAATAATTTAAAGTAAAATGAATCTAAATTAAATAATGCAACTTCATAAAGTAACAATACAAGTAAGTAAAGTAACAATTCAAGTTTAATAAAAGTAGCAATTCAAGTAAGATTTATGTTTATGTGTTTTACAAAATATTTCCAATTAATTTTAATTTAATTTTCAAAATGAAATTTTAAAAATTAATTCTGGTAGTGTTTTCCTACTTAAATTTGTACTATTATCAGTGGCCGCAGAATCCTACTAAGAATAAAATTTTAGTTGGAGACTTAAGATATTTTTTGCTTATTTTTCGATTACACGATAAATTTTAACTACGACATTTAAACAATATAAATAATAGTATTTAGATCTAAAATTGCTAACGGTGTTATTTTTAAAATAAACTGAAATATAAAAATTAAATATTTTGTTAGCCTTAATATGAATAAGATTTTTTTCGATTTTTAGGCTCAGGATGGGAAATTATAAATTGATATCAGAAGTAGTAGTTTGGCATTTGAAATCATACTCATTTTTTTCGAGGTTGACAAAAATCCTAATTTAAAATATGTATTTATGAAAGTCGTTAACATTTTTGACATTTTGTAACCAAAGTTGGAAAATATATCTTTTTTTTTTCAAAATAGGATATACTCCTTAAATAAACACTTAATTTATATAATTTACTGTAAAATGAATCTAAATTAAATAATGCAACATCATAGTGTTGGGATCAATAATTGGCCATTAATCAATCAAAGCTTTGATAATTTAATTTAGAATTAAATTGGATTAATTGAATTTATATTTAAGTTAGATTAATTTAATTTAGATTTAAATTAGACAAATTTAGGTTCACTTACCAATCAACGCTTTGATAAAATGTATTATTAAAACTCAAATCTATTTAAAAATAATACATTTAAACTATTCAATGTTTCAAAGTAATTTTTATTCAAGCTATTAAAATAAATTTAAAAACTAAATGGGTATAATTTAAATAGGTTAACTAAACACCTAGAGAGCAAATTATTTGACATGAAGTTAATAGAAAATTATGATTTTAAAGTTTTACGATACTTTTATTCACATTGCTTTGTGTTTCTTTTCTTTCTTTTTTTCAATCTATTTTGAACATCAAACAATAATTTACATATTCACTATTTCTCTAGAAAAAACTCACATTATCAATGAAAATCGGACTTGGAAAATCAAAAATAATCACACCCTTCAGAATATAGTACTCATAATATTATGTTGCATAAAAAATATTTTTGACTTAAATTAGCACTATAAAAAAGTAAGCTGATATAAATCAATGATTTTTTTCTGAAAAGATCAAGTTACTTAAATCACGATTTCAATTATTTAATTAATATTTTCATTAATTAATATTTTGAAAGTATAACTTTAATTAACTATCAATTGTGGGAGGGAGAAATAGTAATGGTTATCATATGAGCATTTGATATTAACCGGGAAAGTTTTTATATATCAATATCAATTTTTGTAAGCTTTTTAAATTGATATCAATAAAAATTTTTGTAAATAAATTTTTTAAAAATGATTTTACATTTCATTATTATTTAATATTATTCCATTAAAAATGCTAAATAATTAGTTTATTAATTGCAATCATTTTTAATTTACTGTACTCACAAAACGCTAATTTTTAGTTTAATTTTTTTTTCTTCAATTTTTAAGAAAATTTTTAATTACTAACGTAGTTTCACATGTTAATCATTCAAATTAAAAAATGCAACGAAAACAAACGATCACGTTTAGAAATAGCTAATATTAAATATTAAATTTCTTAATAACAGATTGATACGAAATTAAGTAGTATCTCTAATTGACTATTTCAATAACTAAAACAAATCATTCATAATTCACACGTCTAAAACGTGGAAAGGAAATTATGTGAACTAAATTATGTAACGGAAAAAAAAGTAAAATTTAAAAACATCAGCATCAGATGTTAGAATTTACTGACACAAGATATTTATTTATTTATTTTTAAATTATTAGTATATGAAGTGATAAATAATTTATTAATAATTTATCTCACATAACCTTGAATGTATTTTGAAAAAGGAAATTTATTTTTCGGAAAAAAGAAAGAAAAAAAAGAAAAAAGATCCACTCTCACTCATTACGGTGGAAAATTATAATAACTGAAATATGGTTCTTTCATTTGATACGAAAACAGAATAAGTACAAGTACTTGATGAAATAAGTATGAAATAAATTTAATGAATGAAAAATGGAAAATATGAAAATTAAAGTTCATCAAAATAATTATAAAGTTTTCAGATAATTTGAAGAATTATTTTTTTGTAACTTTATTCGCAAACTTAATACAATAAAAGAAAATTTGTTATTACTTAAATAATTTTAGTGGCTTTTCGTATTTTCTGAAAACCGAAAGAATCTTGTGCTTTATACCATTTAAAACTTTACTTAACTAATAAAAACCCAACCAAGAGTATAAAGATTTTAAATGAAGCAACAAAATATATTTTAACAAAAAATGTTTCATTAAGTAAGATTTTTTTTGCTTGTAAGTTTTTGAAGAAAAAAAATCACTAAAAGTTTAACCAATGAAAAGATCATTTTAGAAAAAACTTGGGTTAGATAATGGGCCTTTTACAAAAAAATATTTTATCTTAAAAAAAATCATTCACAATAGTTCTAATTCTAAAAATGGATCCTTTACAAAATTCTTCTGTTGAAAAACGGAGTCTTTAATTCATAATTAAAACTACAACTTCTTGAAATACGAGGTTTTCTTTTTTTCTGCTTCACAAAAAACAAGACCTTATTTTCACACACTCAAAAAAATAGGACCCTGGGAGAAAGAATTTGATTCTGGGGTAATTTTAGATTCAGGAAATTGTGTGATTTATCACAAATTCACTAAAACAAAACAATGAAAAAAAGTCTAAAGAGAACATTAGTTTCTGTTTTTTCCTTTCTTGTTTCTCTGCCCAAAAAACAAAAACCTGAAAAATTAACCTTATTGTACGGAAATTTTAGATTCCAATTTTTTCCCAATTTCACAAAAACGGACCTACCACAAAAATATGCAACACCCCTTACATTGACACAAAATGAAAGAAACTGATGGATATGTTGATCAATAAATTTTAAACAAAAGCT